GCTAGATGCCAAATAGACAAAACAATTATATTTGAAATTGTATCATCGTGCCACCAGCGAAGCGATGTGTACTGCACTAGTTACGATAAAACGATGCATCATCTACACCCTATGAAAAAAAAACTGTTATGTGCTGATGGTGTAATAGATAGGGGCCGTTTTCTTACGCATAAATACCCTTGAGAAAGGTAGGGCCCTATCTCCTCCCCAGCTATGGGTTAAATAGTAGTATTTGTATCTGGAATAAAAGTATTGTTATTTTAAACAAAAAGATTAATGTAGTCTTCGCTCGAAAAAAAAAATGTATTATTCTTTCAATATAAAATATTTTCGGTTTTAAATAACCCAGAAAGGGTTGATAAACCATAAAAGCAAATCAATCACTCAACTCTGGAATAGCAGTATAATAAACACATCATGAATTCTCTATGTGTATGCAACTACCGGATGTGACAGCAAAATTGTCCAAATTATGTAACTGCAAAATTGTCCAGTTGTTAGATTAGGCTTAGAACCGTTTTAAGTTAGAAATATTTTACTGGAAATTCTCCGAAGCTTTTTATAACACCATTGGACTCTAATTTGAACAATAAGAATGTATTTAGCACTAAGTTGAAACGATGGTCCTTCTTCCTGTCATGACCTCCTGATCCAGTTTTCCTCTCTACTGTTCCCTCTTTTTTAAACCAATTCCACGTTCTTTTGATGGTTCTTGAATAGATTCTGAAGATGGAAACCAGAGTATGAATCTTGGTACAAATTCTGAGGGCCTCAATGATCGCTTTCCTTTGTAACGAGAGCGTCGGAAATAAATCTCTCGCTATGAGCATTGCTATATCAATAATATAACAACGCCAATATTTCATAAACAGAACGGAATAGGTGAATCGAAAATGCTTAGTCCACAGGGAAATTTATAATGTTATGTCATACACAATATTAAATATATACATATATTCACGTGTCCCACGCAAAGAAATTATAGCATACACTTCAACAAACGGTATGTAAGAAGGATGAACTTTACTTGTTATATTCCACGAAGGGAAAAACGGGGTTACGGCGGTTTCTCTACGAACTGGGTTAGGCTATGTGCTTTTACCTGTAATACCTACCACTACGGCCTAAGAACATTCTTTGTCTATGGGCTCTACATGACAACTGCTCTTTTCAGTCTCTCTCCGAACGTCATTCACCGGCTGTCACGTGACCCTCGTGACTATCTCTGTGAAAGGGAGAAAAGCGACATGTGTAAGGTAATAGGTGCCTACTCTCTAAACCGGTTCTAGAACATGCCATCAGTTGTTATTTTTATTCTGCTTGTTGTTTCGTATCCAGTCGAATACCGCGGTCATTCCACAAGCAATGGCGAAGTTTGCCTAAAGCACTGGTAGCCTTAGCAATCCGATGCATCATTTCATCGTCTAAAGTTCCACTGTAGTTGACTTTGCTACCAAGATTGGTGAAAGACTTTACATAGTTCAGGGCTTTGTCTTCTACTTTCAATGGTCTCTGTGGAAATTTGTAGACTGGTGGTTTTTTGTTTCTCACCACAGAATTGCTTCGGCGTAGGACAAGCTTGGTGCACAACTTCAGTATTCTTTATGCTATATATATATATATATATATATATATATATATATATATATATATATCAATACAATATACTCAGTACAACCAGAGCCTGGCAGCTGATCTCTCTTCAGATCGAGCTTTTACAGCTCCGTTGGGGGTGGGGACAATGGGTGGTGACATTCGAAGCCTCGAAAAGTAAACTAGTAACCTTCTATCATCACCGAGCAAGCCCTGAATTTTCACCGATCTTGATGAACAGGTGGTCTCTGGGGAGGCCGCTTGTCTTGAGTGCCAATTGCGACTGAAGCCCAACGAAAAGCCTCAAATGGAACTCGTACGAATGATGGTCAGTTCCCTGTATTGCTCCAGTAATTACCTGACTCCTCCTTCCATCCTTTACCGTTGCAAGAGCTAGATCAGACCGAAAATGAGGCACTGTAGCAATATAAAGAGAGGAGCTACCCAGTCTTCTTTTGTCCAGCGTTACAGCAGGGAGCGAAGTGTAGTATCTGTTAATACTCACAAGTTACTTTTTTTCCCCGATTTCCTAGTAGTTTCCTGGTGGCATTAAAGGTTAATGCACAGTAATAAGGGTAACTGGGCCATTTTTGTTAACGGCTCATATGTACTCGTATAGGCATACGATATTACACCCACCATGTGTTGTACTTTGCCACTTTGGATTGATAAGTGAATGTTGAAGTTCAAAAACGACATTATATAGATTAAAATAATAAGTCGCTCGAACAGTTCTCAGTGTATGGCTGTTCCTACCCTGTAATGTTTGCTTTTTGCTTTTCTTCATTTATGATATATTTCTCTGTGAATTTCTGGGATAAGGAGTCAGCATTTTTTTATTGTCCTCGTGTTGGTTTTTGTTATTAGACCGTTTCAGCCGTTGTACTCTCTGGACTTCTTCAGGTGTTTGTCGAATCGAGTAACTGTTATGGGGTCTTACCCATAATAATAATAATAATAGACTATTCCATACTTAATAAATACTGCACCTCAGGAGTAGTTCAAGCGTCAGTCAGTAGTTCACTACCGACTGTTCGGTTGAACTCTCTTCCTACGAACGGGAGTAACCCGAAGGAGGCTACGCCGAAGGGCGGAGTCTCCTTCGGGGAGGTAAAACCGGCCCTGAACCCGTTTATACGGGTTCAATGGGCATATTTTTGGCCGAGCCCCCGGGCTCGGAATGCCCACGGGCTCGGAATGCCCACGGGCTCTGAATGCCCACGTTAAAAAGGCCTTGTGCTACATGACACCCTCGTGGGGGTGGGTGACTGAATATCGTCAGTCAGTAGTTCACTTCTGAACCGACTGTTTGGTTGAACTCTCTGCCTTCGGGCGGAGAGGAACCCGAACGAGGCTACGCCGAGGGGCGGAGTCTCGTCCGTTTATAAAGGTTCAATAGGCATATTTTGGGGCCGAGCCCACGGGCTCGGAGAACCCACAATGAATAACAGACCTTGTGTCACATGCTGCCCCAGTGGGGGCGGGTGACTGAATACTGTCAGTCAGTAGTTCAAGTTGAGTCAAGAGTCGAGTCAGAGGCAGTCCGAAACAGAGTCGCGTTCAGACGATTACTGCAAGACATTGGAATAGTGATACTGGTTGAGACTACATTGTTCTACTTACTAAACCTGATTGTTCGTACTAACACTTTCTACTTCTCTGTATATATTCCTGTTTGTAATATATCTGTGTTATTCCATATCCGTGTTCGAGTTCTACTTTACTTGGTTATACCTTGGACTATCACCGTGGTACAAGGAATCGGACCATAACAGTAACCTACAGGGAATTTCGAACTGAACACGGTAGTAGGTTATTCCCGTTCCTCTGACCGTGTTTAGGAATATCAGTTATTGCTCGTCCTGTTTCTACCAAGTCCAAGTAGACATTGCCCAGTCTAGAGCTTGAACCCAAAATTTCCACATCGCCAAATGCACGAAATAACACTTTAATTCAATAGGTTGTTGTCTCGTAGGTTAAATAAAATGTTCAATTTGGAACTCCATCTAACTTACTCGTATCTAGTAATGGTCTACGTTGACATCAGTGAATGATCTCAGCTCGGCTTTTTCTCTTAGCTGGTGATCGTCAATCGTTTCGGTTCGTCAATGAAAGGCTCCACACAGAGAGAATGGGAACTTAAAAATTTTTTAAGCATGTCGACATGTACATTATCTAATTATCCCGTGTGGGGAGTCGTTTCGGACAAGAAATAGAACACGTCTGCATCATTTGACGGGTGAGAAACTCGCTGAAACTTTTCCTGTCTTGTTCCCGCGCTAACTCAGTCCATCAAAATCGACTTCCCTTTTATGGGTGACATCTGACCCCGGCTGTCAACCTCCGGAAGTCGAAGCCGAGATACACTCCCTCTAAAATTAATAGTCTGCTAAACTATTATTTAGCACAAACACCCGATGAAGTCTAGAGGGTACTAATGCCGAAACGTTGTGATAAAGAAAACAAAGATGAGGACAATTGTCCGAGTTTAAATGATGATAAGCCCTTATATCAGAAACTCGCTCAGAAGTAGATCGTAAATCGACAAACGTTTGATAAAGGTCGGAGGGCAAAATGACCGAAATATATATATATATTTTTTTACAATAAAGATCACGCTGTACAAGGCCGAAAAGCCACTCTAGGTAGAGGTTTACAGAGTAAGTAGTAAGGGGAACATTTTAGGTGGGTATAGGGTTAAGTTAGCGGTTAGTCCTAGACTTGAACAGGCTAATATTTTAGAGATCGGAAAAAAAACATCCACTTGGGTGTCGGTTCCAGAGAGTAGCGGTCTGTGGAAAAGAGGTGGTCGAGTGGAACCATCTCACTAATGAAATACGATGGGGATGACTTTGCATAGCATGACGGGTTTTAGCGGTGGATGTCAAGAACTGTTGGAACAAAGCAATAACAAACAATGTATAGTTTAGCTCTTCTTTCATTTATATAAAACTTGTTTCAAAATGCATTTGTTACTTGTTACTATTATTTTTACTAAAATCGCTCTCATAACATTTATGAAGAATAGAGACCTTTATAGCGTTTGATTTTATTTCCCCCGCTATTGTGAGCATTACGATAAATATTATTGTAATTCTTTTATTGTTTTGATAACCATTCCTGCTATTGTTTCAGCTGCTGTTGTCAAAGAGCAAGCCGTTCAAGAGGCCACCGAATTACCATATTACGAACGGGAGTGGGCGACTCGCTTGTCTCGATGCTTATATGCTTTTGCGCGTATTGCAAACAATGGAGCCTTTCGTTGTTCAATCGATCGAGGGAATAGAATGGTTGCTTCTTAGACGTTCTTAGGCAAAACCCAACTCCGGCGCCCGTGCAATATATTTGCACGTTTTACCCAAAATTTATAGGCGGTACCAGAAATCTTTTATTATCGAGGGTCTTACAGTTTAGTACTTAAGAATGTTACTCCGTGGGAAAGCAATGTAGTTCGCGCCGCCGACGAATGTAAAGAAAGAAAGAAAGAAAGAAAGAAAGAAAGAAAGAAAGAAATAAATAAATAAATTGTAAATGAAAAAAGGAAGTAAGAAATGATAAATGAAAGGGAAGAAAGGGGGAGAGAATAAAAAACGAAAAATGAAAGAAAGAAAGGGTGAAATGGAGGGAGAATAAAGAAAGAAAGAAAGAAAGAAAGAAAGGACAAAAGAAAGAAAGGACGAAAGGACGAAAGAAAGAAAGAAAGAACAAAAGAAAGAAAGGACGAAAGGAAGAAAGAAAGAAAGGACAAAAAAAGAAAGGACGAAAGGACGAAAGAAAAAAGAAAGAAAGAAAGAAAGAAGAAAGAAAGAAAGAAAGAAAGAAAGAAAGAAAGAACGAAATGAAGAAAGGAAGGACAAAAGAAAGAAAGAAAGAAAGAAAGAAAGAAAGAAAGAAAGAAAGAAAGAAAGGACGAAAGAAAAAAAAAGAAAGAAAGGACGAAAGGACGAAAGGAAGAAAGAAAGAAAGAAAGGACAAAAGAAAGAAAGAAAGAAGAAAGAAAGAAAGAAAGGACAAAAGAAAGAAAGGACGAAAGGAAGAAAGAAAGAGAGGACAAAGAAAGAAAGGACGAAAGGACGAAAAAAAAAAAAAAAGAAAGAAAGAAAGGACAAAAGAAAGGACGAAAGGACGAAAGGAAGAAAGTAAGAAAGAAAGGACAAAAAAAAAAGAAAGAAAGAAAGAAAGAAAGAAAGAAAGAAAGGACAAAAGAAAGAAAGGACGAAAGGAAGAAAGAAAGAAAGGACAAAAGAAAGAAAGGGCGAAAGGAAGAAAGAAAGAAAGGACAAAAGAAAGAAAGGACAAAAGAAAGAAAGGGCGAAAGGAAGAAAGAAAGAATGGCAAAAGAAAAGAAAAGAACGAAGATAAGAATGAAATTATAAATATATGATCGAAAGAAAGAAGTAAAGTCATGATAAATGAAAAAGAAAGAAAAAAAGAAATCAAGCGACCGAAAGTAGAGAAAAAAATGGCAAATGAAAAGAGAAAAAGAAGGGTAGACATAGTAAAAGAAAGAAAGACGGAAGGGAAGACGTAAAGAAAAAAGAAAGACGGAGAGTAGGAGCCACGAAGAGAAGAAAGAGACGGTAGATGAAAAAGAAAGAAAGAAAGTAAAAGAGAATAAAAAGCTGAAGATGAGAAGGAAATGTTAAATGAATAGAGAGAAGGAAGTAAAGACACAGTAAAAGAAAGAATGAAAGAAAGTGGGAAACCCGAAGAGAAAAAAATAGTAAATGAAAAGAGAGAGTGAGAGAGGGGGGGAAGAAATGATAAGCGAGAACTACAATTAAACAAAAGAAAAGAAAGAAAGAACAAAAGGAAGAAAGAAAGTATGAAGGAAAATAAAGAAGGAAAGAAATAAAGACATAGTAATAGAAAAAGAAAGGAAGAAAAAAAAAGAAAAACAGTGAATGAAAAGAAAGTAAGAACTAAAGATAGATATGGAAAGAAAGATAGAAATAAATAAATAAAAAATAAATAAATGATAAGAAAGAAAGAAAGAAAGAAAGAAGAAAGGAAGGAAATAGACCGTAAAAGAAAGAAAGAAAGAATGAAAGAAAGAAAGGGAGTACGAGACCCGAAGAGGAGAAAGAATTGATAAATGAGAAGAAAGCAGGAAAGACATGGTAAAAGAATAAAAGAAAGAAAGAAGAATGAACGAAAGAAAGAACGAAGAAGATTAAGAGACCTGAAGAGGAGAAACAAATGATAAGTAGAAAGAAAGAAAGAAAGAAAGAAAGAAAGAAAAAAAGAAAGAAAGAATGAATATGATGAGAGAAATTGAAAGAAAGAAAGAAAGAAAGAAAGAAAGAAAGAAAGAAAGAAAGAAAGAACGAAGAAGATTAAGAGACCTGAAGAGGAGAAACAAATGATAAGTAGAAAGAAAGAAAGAAAGAAAGAATGAATATGATGAGAGAAATTGAAAGAAAGAAAGAAAGAAAGAAAGAAAGAAAGAACGAAGATTAAGAGACCTGAAGAGGAGAAACAAATGATAGTATAAAGAAAGAAAGAAAGAAAGAAAGAAAGAAAGACAGAAAGACAGAAAGAAAGAATGAATATGATGACAGAAATTGAAAGAAAGAAAGAAAGAAAGAAAGAAAGAAAGAAATACTAATATTATTATCGAAAGTGAAATTACCATTGGTTGGTAAATCCTTATAATATTGTCTATCAGTAGAGAGACGTTAGTTTTTGATTTTACAAAACGTGTCTTTAAGAGATTTACGCATTTGTCTATTGGTACGTTAAACTCTAAGCATTTCATATCCAAACGCGCCAAACAGTTTATCCTTCATATTCATGTCTTTTCCAGATGGCGCTGGAATTTGAAATATGTGAAGATTCATTGTTCCAAGAAATGGGAATGTAAGTTGTCGATATTCTATGGCGAATCTATCTATCTATCTATCTATCTATCTCAGTCCATATCTCTCTATCTATCTCAGTCTGTTCATATCTATCTATCTATCTATATTATGAAATGGACAAAGTCCGACCATTATTTTAAGACATTTTTATGTTTATACATTCTTTTTATAGATACAAATATTGAAGTAAATGCTCTGTTTATAATAAACAGTATTAAACAACATTTACCGGCTGTGAAAATTTCTCGGACATTCAGGCCGGTAAATTGTTGTTTAATACTGTTTATTATAAACAGCGCATTTACTTCAATATTTCTATCTATAAAAAGAATGTATAAACATAAAAATGTCTTAAAACTATCTATCTATCTATCTATCTATCTATCTATCTATCTATCTCAGTCTGTTCATATCCATCTCAGTCTGTTTATATCTGTCTATAAGTTTGTTCATATCTATCTATCTATCTATCTATCTATCTATCCCAGTCTTTTCATATCTATCTATCTATCTATCTATCTATCTATGTCTGTTCATATCTTTCTCAGTATGTTTATATCTGTCTATAAGTTTATTCATATCTATCTATCTATCTATCTATCTATCTATCCCAGTCTTTTCATATCTATCTATTTATCTATCTATCTATGCCTGTTCATATCTTTCTCAGTATGTTTATATCTGTCTATAAGTTTATTCATATCTATCTATCTATCTATCTATCTATCTATCTATCTGTTAATTTATTTATATCTATCTCAGTCTTTTCATTATCTATCTATCTAAGGTGTGTTCATATACATCTTAGTATCTTTTGTTCATATCTATCTATCTATCTATCTATCTATCTATCTATCTATCTATCTATCCCAGTTTGTTCATCTATTTTTATCTCGCTCTATTTCATTTTCTTCAAAGAAATAGGTCATTATCTATACGTATTATCAGAATAAATCTTAAAAATAAATGATAACTTATCAATTCAATGTATTATAACACTATCCGCGATATGATAAGACTTTGTTATTTGTTGACAACATGTGATAGAATAACCTCTTTATATTCATATTTATAGAACTTGCTTGAGAAAATAGTTCATTCCGTCAATGAAACAGATACATATTAAAAGACACAGAAAGGGGAAATATACAATGGACTTACTTGTGTGTTGGTTTGTTCATGACTGGCATTAGTGATTGATTTCAGCCATATTAGGTGAGAGGAGATGGGTGATGGGACGTATGCGTTCTGTTGCTTCTACGGGCTGTTTCCTCCATATAAGAAGACTTAAATTTTGGTTTCTCCTGAGATTAAAACACTTTGATCCCTTGACAAATTACGTGTTAAGTGAAAATAACGAGTCTTATAGCGCTACAGTATGAAGAAAATTTCTAACAGCGAATAGTAAGTTTCATCTTTTACAAGGCCCGAGGGTGGACACTCGTGGGATAGGGTTATGTTGAGGCAATTTGTGTGAATAGAAATGGAAGGTAAACAGTTAACCCTAGCCATAAACCGGTTAAGGTTGTAGTGATCGGGGAAACATCCTCTTGGGAGTCGGCTCCACAGAATACTCGTTCATCGGAAGAAGCTGTTCGAGTGGAATTTTCTTCTCACCATTGGAATATGGAGGGGATTTAGGTGGTTAACTAAAATGTAAGTGTCATGGCGGATCCTAGCCGTGATGGTTTGAGCTGGCAGGACCAGGGACGGTAGTTCGTCCGAGCACTTTCCATGGAAGTAGCGATAGACTAGCGAGATGTTTACCACATACCGCCTGAGAGAGAGAGAGGGGTTGGAGGCGGTAGAGTCTTTCAAGGGTTCAGAGACGCTGTTGGACTCTATCATAGGCAGAAGAGTGAGGTCTGGGTAGCTCCCAACCAAATATGACAACACTACTCTATTTTTTGCCTCATCTGACTCTTGTAAAGTTATAAGACAGCAGGAGGCGATTACTTACCTGCATCCTTATATACGAGTTCCATTTGAGGTCAGATGCGAATTTGAGGACCAATAGTCTTTCAAGGCACGGTGCCTTCTCGAGGAGAGATCCGTTCATCCTGACTGGTGGTAGTTTGTGGTCTTATCGGCGATGATGTGACAAGGCAAGAATAGGCTCAATGGAACAGTTAAAATTCTTACCAAAAGTTAATAGAAGTATTAAGAAACGGAATATTTACATTGGAAACAGAGAAAAGAGTTCTGGAATGTTATTTAATATCAATTCTGTTACATTACAGTGAATGCTGAGCTCATCTCCTCACAGATGGAGAGAAATCTGGAGATAGCAAAACAGTAGGTCGACAGTCGGTTTCTGAGACTACCACAGAACTTATAACCAACGGATTATAAGGAATATGGGGAAAAACGGAGACATATATATCTATATCTATAGTTCTCAAAATGTGTGTCTGTACGTATGTGTGCATATGTCTGTGTGATTGGATGCTATGCGTTTCTGCAGTTTTCATTCGATTTCGATGAATTGTTTTTTGTTTGATAGATAATTCTTCAGTGACGGTTTTGAGTCCAAATTACACGTTCTGTCTATATAGTTCTATATAGATAGAACTATATAGATATAGTTCTATCTATATTTTATAGAGATAGAACTCTATGTAAGCAAATATATGGATATAGAGCCGACAGTATGAAGAAAAATATACGGAAAAAAACAAACAAAAATGCTAGTAGCATCGTCTTTTCATGTTGAATTGAATTGAATCTAGTCTAATGTTAATTATGTTTTATGAATATGTCCTGAAGAAGGTCAACTAGATCGAGACGTCCGACATTGACATTATATTAACATTAAAACTGCATAATTGCATATTAGGATTTTTTGTTTGTTTTTCCGTATATTTTTCTTCATAGAACTCTATATATATATATAACTCTCTCTCTCTCTCTCTCTCTCTCTATATATATATATATATATATATATATATATATATATATATATATATATATATATATATATATATATATATATATATATATATATATATAAAGTTATATATATATATATATATATATATATATATATATATATAAAGTTTATATATATATATATAGTATATATATATATATATATATATATATATATACACACATATATATATATATACATGCACATATATATATATATATATATATATATATATATATATATATATATTCATTTTTTCTTTTTCTTTCTTTCTTTTCTTTTTTCTTTATACTTATCATTTGTTTCTCCTCTTTAGGTCTCTTAATCTTCTTCATTCTTTTTTTTCTAAAATGTAAGTGTCATGACCCGCCATGACATTTTAGTTAACCACCCACGTTTCCTCCGTATTCCATCGTTGAGAAGAAAATTCCACTCGAACAGCTTCTTCCGGTGAACGAGAATTCTGTGGAACCGACTCCCAAGAGGTTGTTTCCCCGATCACTACAACCTTAACCGGTTTATGGCTAGGGTTAACCGTTTATCTTCCAAGCATATCTCTCAAGTGAGATTACCTTTTCCGTTGCACAAAGCCTACTACTACAGTTTTAACGCGTTGGTTTCATTGTCGTTTTTGCCGTTCCTAATTTAAATTTTTTATTCTCCTGCCAGTATTTGCATTACATTCACCGTAGTAATAATTAAGCTTGTTTTTTTTTTTTATTCAACATTTATTTTTCCAACCTTTCCTAAAGTTATTCGAGCTTAGAGATCACTGTGGCTTTACAGTGTTCTCTTCTGGTATTTGCCTACGCATTCCATTTGACAATTCATACTTGCCTTAGACAAAACACCAAAAAAAAAAAAAAAAAGACTTGCCTAGGTCGCAAAACCACTGACGCCGTGCAAATAAGAGATAACGAATTGTCTTTAGAAAGTTCAATTTGCCTGTCTCAAAATGACTCTCGGAATGCTTCCATCGGAGTCCGAAGTTCAACGTAGCCATCGTCTTTCCAGAAGAACATACCTGAACGCTTCTACGCGCGAGGCTGAAATTGATAATCAAAGGACGCAACGGCTGAGGAGAAACGCCTCTTCAACTGCTGTCGTGCGTGGGACTGAAACAACGTTGAGAACGCAAAAATGGCCCTTTTTAGGGTCCTCCCAATTCAAATTATTAACCCCTTATTTGAGGATGTGTCTCAGTTGCACCCAAATTTTGTTACTAATATTGATTTTCGGGTGGGCTGACTTTAAATTTAAACTGCTTCAATTGAATGGTAAAAAATTCAGAGTAATGAAAGACCCATTCGAAGTTATACTGCTAGTATATATATATATATATATATATATATATATATATATATGGAAAGAGACAGTTGGAATATCTTGGGAAATATGACACTCACAAAGCAAGATGAAAAAGACGGAAAAGGCAAGAAGCATACAAGGAGCAGGTGGGATAGTAAAAAGAGATGATACTCCACGGTCTGTAGGGACACGGCACTTAGAAGAATGTCAGTTAACGATAAGGAACCACCAGGTAGTTAAGATCTCCTTTTGTTCTATTAGGTTGGTGCAAAAATAATGACGTAATAATGTCGTTTTTGACGTTAAAAAATACGTCAAAAAACGACATTATTACGTCATTATTTTTGCACCAACCTAATAAAAGCAACGAAATGCTTGATACCCTTCGTGCTATTTTTCAACATAGAACATTTTATACCCATTTTCCACTACAGGGTACCCGTCAAAAAAAAAAAAAAAAAAATGAAACAATTTTAGATTTACAATATGATGAAGAAAGATTTAACTAACATATAAAAAATAACTATATATTTTACTCTATGAATGAACTAAAAAATAAAAATTCTTTAATCTTTTGTTATCTATCTATCTATCTATCAATAGATGAAAAATTATTATTTCAATTTTCAAACTAAGCAATGGATGATATTATTTTTTATTTCAATAAATTATCATCGATTGACTGGTTTGCAAAAATCCTTGTAAATGATATTTTAATTTAGAAGGTGAAAATGATCATTAACCTAATGTAAACTTATATCCTATTGCATGAAATATGTTGGTCTGTTTCATTAAAACATTGAGCTTTTTGTGTGAATCAGTTTTAATATTTCATATCGTATCAAAAGGATTCACTTGGATTATATACCAACGGATTATTACCCATATATATAGATAGATGGATACGGACAGATATAGATAGCTACGAACAGACAGGCAGACATACACACAGACAGACAGATAGATAGATAACAAATGATTAAAGAATTTTTATTTTTTTAGTTTATTCATAGAGTAAAATATATAGTGTTTTTTTCCTACTTGTTCAATATTTTAAAATAACTATTTATTTATTTTTTTTTAATTATGAAGTCGTTTCAAGTTTTTACAACACCAGCGCCTTCTCAACGACTAATCAAATATCTATATATATATATATATATATATATATTTTAAATTTACTGTTTCCAAAATTCGTTTTACAGTGCTTCTAAAATCGGCATTCCGTCTAAACTTGCGCAACACAGACTGATGAAACGTGAGAATTAATTGTTTGTAGATATCTTTGCCTCTGGTAAAGAAGATTTCTTCTTCTTTTTTCCCAGTTCAAAGTCGTTTCTCTTTAAAGAGTCACAGTTTAAGAGGGTACTTGCCGGAGCAGATTTAGTTTTACTTGTGTAGGTGTAGATATTTCAGAAGCAAAAAAGAATAGCTACATACGTAAACAATTCATTTTTGACGAGTTTTATATCTATCTATCTATCTATCTATATCTATATATATATATATATATATATATATATATATATATATATATATCTGTGCCAGTCTTCTCTAAAATAAGAATACATTTACGAATGTTTTCATCTCTCTCTCTCTCCCCTATATATATATATATATATATATATATCAGTATATTCATATGTAACTCAATGAATTCCTATCTATCTGTCACAATATATTCATACCTATCGCAGTGAATTCTATCTATCTATCTATCTATCTATCTATCTATCTATCTCTATATATATATATAAATATATATATATATATATATATATATATATATATATCTGTGCCAGTCTTCTCTAAAATAAGAATATATTTACGAATGTTTTCATCTCTCTCTCTCTCTCTCTCTCTCTCTCTCCCTCACTATATTCATATGTAAGTCAATGAATTCCTATCTATCTGTCACAATATATTCATACCTATCGCAGTGAATTCCGATCTATCTATCTATCTATCTATCTATCTATCTATCTATCTGTGTTCCAACTTGTTCTAAAATAAGTATATATTTACGAATTTCTTCACATATCTATCTATCTACGTCTGTCTGTGTATTTATCTCTGTGCCAACCTGTTCTAAAATAAGTATATTTTATGAATGTCTTCACATATCTATCTATCTATCTATCTATCTATCTATTTATTATATTCATATCTGTCTCAGTGAATCTCTATCTATTTATCTAGCTATCTGACTTTTTGTATATATAATGTATTATAAGTTGCATGGGTAATATCTTCCGGCAAAGCGTCTATATCCTTTCTTTATTGCATATTTTTAAAAAAATTGATCGGCAGAACATTATTTTATTTTTATTTTTATTTTTATTTTTGCTATCACGTCGCTGAATTCTATTTCTATTTTTCTCCGTCGGGGGTGAACTCAGGGCAATGTATCGTAGTACACTCATTGACCCTACCTCCTCACCACCCACCACAATTAATTCGTTCGCAATTCTAACACATTGCCAGAATGTAAGTTGACACCTTTAAAAGGCGCTGCTTGCGTGAATCGACTCTGTCAAATTACAACAGTTTGGTAAATGTCTGACTCAACGGAATCTTTTATTGATTTAACTGACAAAAATTCAACCCGGTGTTGCATAGAATTCGCTTGTGATTCCACAATTTTGCGACGGTGTTTACCGACATTTCGGAAGATTTCCCAGGGTCTTTAGAATTGTCTACATTTTGTTTCTGGTAAACGTCTTAACAGAAGACGGAAAAGTTCGGCACTGAAATCCGAAGGAACATTGGGATAGCAAAAGAACCTTCCAAAAGCTAAGCAAAATATTAAGAAACCGGAAAATCTCGTTAGAAGCAAAGAAAACAGTAATAACCTGTTAAGTAATATCAGTCCCCTTACATGGCAGTGGATACTGAACAGTCTTCTCAACGACGAAGAAGAACAACAGAAATGAGGTTCTACAGAAGGATACTGAGAATGCCATTGGCCGAACATGTGGTCAGCGACGAAGCTTTAGTGAAAGTGGAAACAGAAAGGACACTTGTACTTCACATCGGGAAGAGACAGTCGAAACCTATATGACGAACTTGAGTAAGTAGATGCCAAAGCAAGGTTTAGGAGAGATAGCATTAAGGCAAACATAATTTTTGCTATAATGTCTTTGAATTCTTTTTTTTTTTTTTTCTGTCGGGGGTGTGGAACTCAGAGCAATGTATCGTATCGCACTTATTGAGCTCCCACTTCCCTGCATCATACACCAAGTTTATTCGTTCGCGATTCTAAACAACCTTACAGTTTGGTAAAGGTCTGATTCAACGGAATCTGTTATTGATTCCACTAACGAAAACTCCTTCTTGTGTTGCATAGAGTTCGCTTGTGATTTCACAATTATGCGACAGCGTTTACCGACATTTGAAACAGACTTCTCAAGGCCGTCAGAATTGTTTATATTTTATTTCTGGGAAATGTCTCAAAAGTGGATGGAAAAGTGCGACACAGAAATCGGAAGGCGCGTTTGGATAACCAAAGGTGCCTTCCAAAAGCTAAGGAAGACATCAAGAAACAGGAAATGTACGTTATAAACAAAGAAAACAGTGCTGAAATGTTACGTAATATCTGTCCTTGGAACAAAATAAATCAATTTAAAATCACAGAACACAGCAAATTATCATAGAAACCGCCATTGAAAGGCCTAGATGTTCAAGAAATGTGAGAAGCAAACTGATTGGCTGCTAAGAAGACCACTCAGCTAATCAAGAAGCTTGTATTAGCGGGCCGATGGATCGTCCTAGACGTCTTCTACGTCATTCGACTTTTCGGCCGATATATATCGTCTCCTAAGTGTGGCACCATTTACCAGGGAAAAAAGAAAAGAAAGAAAAAAGAGAAAGGAAAGATAGAAAAAGAGAGGCGAGACCCAATCGTGGATGTCTTTACAATGGCAGAAGGATTCTAGGTGGATGGGGAAAACATCTAATTAGCAAACCACAGACCGACTAGCCAAGGAAAAACTCCAATTGAAAATGTTATTTTGATAATTGACAAAGAACAGGTGAAATACAGGGCTTTGGATAGATATGAAAAATTAACTGTGTCGTCTGCCAAGCCGCACACGAAGTAACGTCTGACCGTTTTTTTGACAAGACATCTTTGGCTGCGATAACAGAACTATGTTATCAGAAATTGGCACCAAGAATGCAAATACGGCTAGGACAATGGAACTTTTTTTTCGAGACGACGGTCGACTGTGTTTCGCTAGACCACCCATTCTGATAATTAGCGATAAGTTGACTGACGAAGTCCAGGTGAGAACAAGAGTTATGACCACAACCGGTCGCATTGTTCTATTTGCGGCCAGAGAAAATGAGAACTGCGATTAAAAGAAAGAAAGGGAAAAGAAAAAGATATTTTTTTTTTGTTAAGCAAGATATATTTTTTTTCCTGAAACAAAGCCGCGGGATCGCACACGCCCGGCTGGACATCATTGGCCGAGTGGTGATCACGTGACGCAAGGAGGAAGCTGTCTCTGCCCATCTCGAGGATGGGTATGAGAGGTTGCTACGAAGAAGTGGGGAGGGCAGTTCACGCCCTCTGAAGTATGGTGAGAAGTTCGGACTCCGGTTTCCCAGAGTCAGTCTCCAGTGTTCAGTTGAAGCAAGCCTCGCATCGGCTGACCAAGATTCGCGCAATTTCCGGACACATCTTCAATCCAAGAACAATTATTTTGAAGAGTGACTTAGATCCAGACCACCAAAATAAGTTTTTTCGACTTTCGCCCGAAGACACACCAAAAAACCAATTTCTTAAAGAGCAAACAACTTGAAGTGTTAAAACTCGCCTAACGGAAAACAACGTGTCACAATCCATAGAACGGGTCGGGAGATAGACGCAGTCCTATGTATCCATCAACTAGACATAAAGTTTGTTATCCTTTTTTTTGATACCTTGAACTTTGAGTTTTCATTTTATTTCTTTTATACGTATTTGTGCGATACCACCTCCGCTTGGACCCAACTTGCATTACGGCCCTGACGACTGATTGATTTCGTCTGCCTAAGATCAATTCACAACGTGGGTAGGCAGACTGGAGATCAACGCAGTTACTTTGGTAACCAGACGTTGGAAGCGAGTTGGGAACGACGGGGATGATATCGAATCTAACCAGATTCCCATCCGAGTCACCCAAAAGGTTAGAACGTCACATTTGGGTGCCGCGACCGATACCAAGCCAGTTGGTCGTCACAGGACGAGACAACACGACTGACGCGACAGGCGGACGTCACGTTTGGAGCGGCGACACACGAACGAAGCAGCGAGGAGCGAGCGAAGGCTGTGTTTAGGGACGTCACATATGGGTTAATGAGGTCGAAAGTATGAGGCACCTGGTGCGGATCAAATACGTTACTCTGTAAAAAATAAATAAATAAATAAAAATAAACATCGCAAAACATAAACCCACGCCGATGTGCATTTTTGTTTTATTTACTAAACTCAACTGAAATCCGAAGGCTCATGAGTATAGCGAAAGATGCCTTCCAAAAACTAAGCAAAGTATAAAGAAACAATGAAAAATTTGGTTAGAAACAAAGAAAAGAGTACTGAACTGTTATGTAATATCAGTCCTTTTATATGTCACTGTTATGCTGGGTAATTTTCTCACAGGTGATGAAGAAACCTTGACAGAAATGTGGTTCTACAGAAGGATACTGAGAATACAATGGACCGACTATCTGAACAGCGAAGAAGTTTTAGCGAATATGGAAGCCAAAAGGACATTTATACTGGGCATCAGTAAGTGACACCTCTAAAGCGCAATTTCTATCACAAATAATGGGGAAAGATGGCTTGGAAAACTTGAGATCTAAACTGGTAAAGGTCACCGAGACAGGGTACACGGAATCAGCGAATACTGAGCAATCTGTTTGATGCAAACAAAAATGTTGTTCTACAGAAGGATACTGGGAATGCCGTGGGCTGAACACGTGCGCAACTACGAAGGTTTAGTAAAATGGAAATAAGAAGTACCATTATACTTAATATCAGGAAGAGACAGTTTTAATTTATAGGGTAGATACTGAGGAAAGACGGTTTGGAAAATCTGATATTCACATGACAGATCAGAGAAAAAACAATGTATAATCTACTTAGTGAGCTTGACTATATGGATGGCGGAGCAAAGTTTAGGAGTGATAATAAAAAGACAACATTATAAGAAGAAGAAGAAGAAGAAGAAGAAGAAGAAGAAGAAGAAGAAGAAGATGATGATGATGATGATGATGTCACGGTTAGGTTTATTAAACACTTGCAATCTATTATAATTAACTAGCAGCATGGCCCGGAGTTGCCCGTGCTTGATTCAAAAATCGTATGACTCATACAGCAATCGCTATCACTTGACTTAAAATATTTTTGCCCTTCCTTGCCTTTAAAGAGTACCATTTGCTGTGCTGATGTTGCTACATGCCTTACTCCTTATTATCTAACTTAGATATGTCCACTGTCTTTTACTTAAATCTCTATCTATAAAAGGCAAGATGTCTGTCTGTGTATGTGTAACGAATGCACGGCAGCAATTTTTGACGGATTGTCATCAAAATTTACATGCACATACTCCAAGGTAAAAAAAAAGGCCAAGACCGACTTTGCATTTCCTAACTCCCATCGATAATGGAAATAATTGATTTTTTTCATGCTTCTACGGCACTTTTCATGTAGTCTGCGGCGATCTTCTACTGGCCAGGGTGAGAGCCAATAGCTGGCTGCCACGAATAGGCAGGAAGATTCTATTGGCCAGCGTGAGAGCCAACAGCTGACTGACACGTGTGTTAACTAGCATGCTAGTATGTAAAAAAAAAATCGATAGCTGCATTCGTCACAAGTGGGGAAAATTTAAATCTGCATGGTACTTTACTCCGATTGGCTCATTCGCTTGCTTAAACTCAACGTTGATTCTGATTCCGCAGAACTGGGTTGGATGTGAAAAAGTAATTGTTGTTAACATTCTTTTTTTATTCGGTTTTTCCAGTTACGAGTCCTTTTTTAAAGCTGATCGTTTTGTGTTCATTTTGTTTAGTTCTTTTTTCGTAACAGATTTAATGTTTAGTATAGAGCTTAGAAAAAATTCGCAGTATGAGATAGGCAAGAAGTAATGCATGTAGCAACATCAGCACGGCAAAGGGCACTCGTTTAAAGGCAAGGAAGGACAAAAATATTTTAAGTCAAGTGATA